CGCATAAAAACAAGTGGAGAGAGACATTGAGAAACAACATTCCTTCTTTGGGCCCCTCAGAGTATCGGCCATGCATGATATTTATTTTTACCCTTTTTTCTTTGTTTTTGTGGTCTACGAAAGTTTTGCCCTCCTGAGCTGAGATATTTGCTTTGGGTTCTGTCGGTTGTCTAAGTGATATGGAAGCAAGCAATGGTGATTACCACAGGGCCGGGTGTGTTTCTTGCGAAACATATTGCAGACAATGACTAGAAATCATTTTCTTGTATACGAGAATGATTTGTGGATATTTGTTTAATATCTTGCCATGTACTGTTTGAGTCTAGTTTCCTTTTTCATAATCTCTCTCCAAATATTGTGATCGATTATAATCTTTACAAACTGCTTTTATGTTCAACCCTTCGTGAAGATCTGAAAGTGCTCCATTGATATCCTCACACCAAGTGCACCCTTGCATGACAGATTTTTTTTTCCACCAAATTTAATGGAATAAGTAAACACACGTATACTTTTAATTTTTTCAGTGAACCTCATAGAGTTTGTTTTGATTGTTTATATGTTTTATATTTCCTTGAAATGAGCAACAACATTTCATATTATTTACACCTTTGACAGCTTTGGGTGGGAATGTTAGCTTACCGATCAAATTTTCCTACCATAAATAATCACTTTCTTTTTGAAGAAAATGTTGCCTTTTATTCGTTACTAATAACCCCTAAGGGAGGAACCGGTAGGAGAAGATTGACCGGAGAAAATGTAAGTAGCTTTTGACATGAGAGAAGTTGAAACACATTTTTTTGTAATGTATCTAATTAAATTACATTGTTGTCTTTGTTTTGCAACAGATTTAAAATTGCAATGCAATCACATTACAGTCAAGAGATGTAATGTAATTACAGTCCAAAATCAATATAATCACATTATATTGTACTTTACAATGTTCTTTAAAATATTTTTACCCTTCAACTTTATTACTTTGTTAAAAACATTTTGTAATGTTATAATTAAAATAAAAAAATTCAAATAAAATATATAATATAAGAATCAAAAATTAAAATAAAATAAAATATAAAAAATTAAAATTTATATAATATAAGTAAAAAAATTAAAATAAGATATATAATATAAAAAATTATATTAAAGAAATAAAAATAAAAAATAAAAAAATATATGATATTAAAAATATAATTAAGGGATGATATTATAGAAAAATTAATAATAAAAATATAAATATTTTAAATTTATATTTTAATAAATAAAAATAATTTTAAAAATTAACATTATATTTTTAATAAAGTACTTATAAACGTAATATTATATTTTTTACATTTTAATCATTATTTTTTTTATATATCAAACATTGTAATATTATTTTATTTATAATCACATTACATTGTAAAATATTAAATGACACCGTAAAATCTCCCCAATTACTAGTATACTTGAAAGAGGAAGGCAAAGGAAGCAAGGTATACATATATAAACTATTTTTCACAATTATATCTTTCATAACGTTAACCCGACAACTCTTGAGACATTAACCAAAAGAAAGAAGAAACTGCACCCAACATAACCATCCATTCGCGTGACACATATCTGCACAAAATACATATTAGTGTTACTGCTCTCTTGATGGGTGTGAAAAACAGATGCGGAAGAGAATTTAGAGAGATAAAAGTTAAAAAATTTATTTATTTTTAATTGTAGATTGACGGTGTATAAAAATTATACATTTTAAAACATCAAATATAAATTCAAATTTAATATTAATATCTCTTAATTGAATTAATTGACATGGAACAAATATGATTTGCTAATTACTACTATAATTTTTTTTTTGGGAAAATTGATGCCTCAAAATCTCAAGATTTAATGTTGAGAGAAGCCTAGATATTGATTACATAATGTTCGCTACTTTAATAGGAAAATGTAATAGATTTTAGACAAATAGCAATGATCGTAAGCTCCATGCTATAAATATCCAATGACCCTCCCCAAATATCTCCCAGTAACTAATCATTAAAAAGTGCATGCCCCTACCCCCACCACACCCAGCTTCACCAAATATCTCCCCCCACTGCAGCACCACTGCCACCCATGTCCGCCGCCTCCACCGTTACCACAATTTCAACACCCAACCCTGGACTCCGAGTCCCCTGCCCTTCTCCAATCCATACCTCCATGGCGGCTATGCTTATGCTCGCATGGTCACTTTAGCGGCTGCCGGTGACGAACGCGCTGCCGAGGTGGCGCGTGAGATGGCATGGGAGCAACTTCACTCTGGCCCTTGGCACTCCGTTCTCCCCGTCTGGCGTGACGCTTACTCCATGGCGTGCCTCCACGTGGCCAAGTTCCATTTCTCCAATGGTGAGTTTGGAGATGCTCTTAGGGCTTTGGATATGGGCATCATAATGGGCGGTCCTTTGCTTAGGAAAGATTGGACTCCGCAATCGAAGTCGTTTCGGCAGCCAAAGCAAGACGGGATCATAACGGAGGAGCTAATGCTGATAATGAGGGTCCCGAAAAAGCAAGGTGTCGATTGTTGGTGTGTCCGGAGCAGCTTGATAAGTCCGAGGTAAGGTTCGTTTTCTACATTTTTTTGGGCTTGTTCTTACTAATATGGAAATTGTTAAGGGCAGTGGTAAAGATTATATTTATGGAAAGAATTTCGTAGTTCTGAAAAAGCAAAATAGTATCTTAACCAATCATGATTAGTACCAATGTGTACCCATTTACCAGATGTATTTATGTTCGTGCTTTTGGCTGAGCGTAGTTATAATGTTAAGGGATTTTGTGTTATGGGTTTAGTGTAGCTTCCTTGTGGTCGTTCCTTTTGATATTATAGCCAAAAAGAGTGTTTCTATACATGGCAAAATAATGTTTTTAATAATTGAAAATGGAAGATCAATTTTTCTTTATTTTTTCAATAGCAAAATACATGGTTTTCCTTTATATGATAGATTGATACTTGACTGAGGTTACACTTTAGTTATTTGTTTTCGTTTTTTAATTAAATAAGATTATGCATTTTTCATCAATTTTGGAACAAATAAAAATGTAAATAGAAAATCCAACAGCCAAATGGAGCTTTTGTTTTCTCGTCTGTGAGTTGATTATAGTATTAGTTTTTCTGATTGCCATGTGTATGTTAATGTCCTTTTGAGCTTTATATGCTTATTTATGTGACTTTAAATGCCCATTTGGCTGATCGTATTTATAATATGTTAGAATTTAGGATCTTTGGGCTTCCAGAGTGTAGTGTAGGGTTTTTTTTTTTTGATTTGATTATAAGTATTTGCTTGTTTATCTGACATCTGCGTGTTTGGAGAAATGTTGACATTGGGCAACTCTCTGAGCTTTGGATCCTTTTGGTGGGTTATAAATACTATTTGTAACCTTTTCTATTTTTTTGAGTATATATGATCGTTTGGTTCTTGCTTCATTATTCTTTATACGCCTTCAATGCGCTAAACAATCAGGACAGAATATTATAGGAGCTTTACTTTGTTCTTTGTGGCTAATTTGGATTTGATGTTTACAGAAATGTAATTTTTTTTGCTTGTAGCTTGTTGTCATATGGATTCTATTATACAATGCAGTCTATCTTTTTATTTTGTATTTGTTGAGAATGAACAATAAGCATGACATACAGACACATGTTCACAGGGGAAAGGGGAAGAGTATCTTTGTAAGACACACTCACACTTGCCTATTCCTAAAGGCTATTCAACTTTTGGAAGGTGTAATTGGCTATATTTGCTATATCTAGTACTTATTTTTTAAACTGATAACTTAAAATAAAAACAGGGTAACTCACTCATTCCCATTTCTTTAGTTCTGCTATTGACACTATATATTTTCTCTTTTCATCATTTTATCATGTTGACCTCCTTTTTGCTGTAATTTGTTGCTTATGATTATGATGGTTGGTATGTTGCTGATAAAGAGAAATTGGTATGGTAATATGATATTTTGAATTTTATGACTCATTCTGTTGCCTTTTCATCCTGTAGCTATTACGGATTTTACCAATAGGATCCTTGTCTTCTAAGATTGTGGGGAAGAGGTCTGCCCTATCTTTGGAGGGATTTCTACGTGAATATTTCCTGTCTGGTTCTCCAGTTATAATTAGTGATTGTATGGCCCATTGGCCAGCCAGGACAAGGTGGAATGATATGGATTACTTAAGAAGGGTTGCTGGTGATCGTACAGTTCCAGTTGAGGTGATTAATCTTCCTGTTTGTTATTAAATTTCAGTAGAGATCAAAGTCGCTACATATACTCTTTTCTACTCTGTTTTTTTCAGACAATATTCTATGCCTTATATCCTAGCTAAATATATGTTTTTTGTTTAAATAGTTTTTTGCTTTTTATTTTTCAACATAATTTGAAGTTCTAGGTGTTACCCTGATTTAGGGATGTTTCAGGGCATCATGCATTTACTAGACAATCTTGAGTCACTTAACTGAGGCTATTTACTCTGTTAGCGATCTTAATTGGTTGCTTCCAGAATTTAAGCTAAGGTGCACTAGTATGTGGCTCTTGATAATTTAATGTGGTTTGCAACTCATATGTTGTATTCCTACATAGATCTTGATGGTTTTAGTTTGGTTCCGGAGGCAAACCATGTATTCATATGCTCAATGAGCTATTACTAGGTTAAAGATCTTGATGCTTTTGTTTCTTTTGTAGACCTTGTAGTTAACTTACTCCATCTTTAGGCACCTGCCAAGACTTGCATAGCTGATTGTTTTAGTGACTGCAAGGTTATCAAATAATGGATCTTCAAGTGTATCTCCACTGAACTAATAATCCTTAGTGGATGGAGCTATTGTTGCCAACTTTGAATCCGAATATCCTTCTACACCTTCTTGATTCTGAATTATTTATCCCATGTCAAGAATAGAATTCCGTCTAGAGCTAGAATTGCTTACCTTGTCACAATCAGCCAATCTAGTGGGCACACACACCCAGTATTTGCAAATATTCAAGCTTTTTCCTAATGAAACCCTTTCTAATCTGTGAGTAACCTTATACCCATTCTTACTTCCTTCGTTGAGTTTTATGCGATTATCTATAGTTCTTAGACAGTTTTGTCGGAAAAGGATATGAGAAATGGAATCCTTGTGAGATAATATGATTCTTATTAATTGTAATTTATTGAAGAAGAATGGGAAAAAAGCTTCAGATCTTCTTAGTTGGATAAATCTTGCAGAAAAAGGACTGTTACAGTGGGGACTATTGTGAACCAAACTGGTTTTTTTCATTTATTCTGCAAAGCCATAAGAAGTGTAAAAAAAGAAAAAAGTGCTGTACTAAAAATCTTGTTTATAGTATTCTTGATGTGAAAACTTTGTAAAGCAGCCTATGTACTTCTACGCATGATCGGTTAACTGCCCTGAGATTAAAAATGGTTAACTGAAGGAACCTGGCGTTTGGCCTTGATGGTTCATCCACCCTCCTTAGGTGGTGGACTTTCTGCAGGGCTGGGTTCTAGCCCAGCTCCTGCATATCCAATAAGCAAAAGAAGAAGATTTTCTAGTCTTTAAAATTGTAAAATTATTTTTATCTTTACCACCTGGTTATTGTCAATAAGAATTCTTATTAATGACAGAGGTTGTGTTTTGAGAACTATGTAGTTCCAATTCATTTTTTTATTTATCTTTTGGCAAGAATAATTGATGCATAGATAATAACTTCTAAGTTTTTTAACTGAAAACTGGTAAAGTTTGAAATGCTTTTCAGGTTGGAAAAAACTACTTATGTTTAGAGTGGAAGCAAGAACTTATTACGTTTTCCCAGTTTCTCGAGAGGGTTCAATCTAATGGCTGCAGAAGTAAGGTCCCTACCTATCTTGCACAACACCAGTTGTTTGATCAGGTAGTATTATCTGCATTCTTATTTTATGTTTGAAAGATTTAATTTCACTGTTGTGTACTGAAGCCTTTAAATTATTGCTATTCTATAATAATGGCAGATAAATGAGCTGCGGAAAGACATTTCTATTCCTGATTACTGTTATGCTGGGGGTGGGGAGCTGAGATCTCTCAATGCATGGTTTGGTCCAGCTGGGACAGTGACACCATTGCACCATGATCCACACCATAATATACTTGCTCAGGTATTGTACAGTTGGATGCATGCATTATTTATTCATAATAAATGGTAAAAAGGAATTGTGGTCTCATGAAACTGCTTTAAAACCTCATGAGGCTTAAGATGAATACCTTGGAGAACTCTGAAGCTACCAATTTGATATGTTACGTGACTTCTATATTGGACCTTAGCTTATTTTAGAAGTACTAGCTTGTCTTGTCTTACTGTGGTGCTATACATGTTAATGGTCTGAAATTTTTCTCCCTTCGGTTGGGGTAGGTGGTTGGTTGTTCTTATAGTGCCCCATGATAACAATTTATTCTATATTGCATTCAATCATGCATAGACCAGTTTCAGTAAGTCTAAATGCAATAATGCATATAATCCTTTTGCCACTACTTGATTTGTTTCAACTAGATGTCCAATCTGGTTCTTATGCTCATACCGAATGAGTTGAACTATCATTGACATGCTATCTTGTACTATTATTTTACATATTATGTACATATATGGATGATAGGCATCAAATTGGTAAACCTCTAAGTGGTTTGGATTTGGAAAGGCTAAAATAATACTAAGTAAGTTTTTGAACTTTCTCACTTTTCTCAAATAAGCCTCTATTATTGTACTGTACCAAAACAAGCCCCTAGTCTATGATTTGTATCCACATAGGCCCTTATGTTAACGGAAATATGTACTTGTATAATGTGTTCTTGATGGCAGTTGGCCAATTGGTATTTTCTGCACATAGGGATGTTGATGTGGCTTTCCTGATGTGTTGAAATTGGCTGAGTGGAAAAATTTCCCACCCAAGATGTGGTTATTCCAGTCTAATTTTACCATGTCAAAAAAGCCATGTTGTCTTCCATGAGTGTGAAGGATGCCAGTTGGCTGTGAGCTTAGTAGCTGTTAAGGTAATGTGTGTTATGGCACAACTCTTTGTCAACATAAAGGCTTTTCTGGATAGAAATCATAGAATAGGAGCTTATCTGGGTACAATCAAAGAATATGGGCTTTTTTTAAAGAAAATTGAGATAGTTTAGGGGCGAATTTAGTATTTTAGCCATTTTAAAATGAGTAGCTATTTACCATCTACTGAATCAATCACAAAAGAGAATTTCCAGTTTGTATTGAGTAAATAATGAGTAGCAGCCTAGGGATTCAAGGTCTCCCTAAAACAAATTGTATTTGTATCTGTTGGGGTTTTTACTGAGTGAATAAAGAGCTGTTTTCTTCCATAATCAGGGAAATCATCTTAACCAACATTGTTATATATTTCTGTTATCGCTTTTTGATATCTTTAGGTCATCATGCATTTAATTTCTGCTTCAGCTTTTGGGTCTGATGGAGTATTTGTATGCAAAATTGGATGTCCTGGTTGTTAAGTTTAAAAGATTGTGTGTTTGATTTGGGGTCCTAAAATGGAAAACCATTGGGCATTTGGTTGGAATTGATTTGGCATGAAATTAAAAATGTTTTAAGCTGTTTCCTCTTCTAATTTTCTTTTTAAATAAATATACATAATGTAAATTTCCAGTTTTAACATGCGTTCTTGTATGTACCAAATCATCTGAGGGTCACATGTCTTACTGTACATGCCACTAGAGGCATTCATTCAATCATCTCCTTTATGAAAAGGGTAATAATGTGAGTTGGGGAAGCGTATAGCATTTCTTAAGCTGTGTTATGGAAGAGCACCTGTAATTCGTTGGTGATGGTTGACTTATGCTTCTCTTCAAGAGTATTGCTTCAAATAGCTATTCTATCTCTTCAACTATTTAACAGGCTTGATTACAATGACTGTGGCATGAACTTCTTCTTCCCATTTTTAATTTTTTTTTAAAATAGTTTTCTGTCATGTTTCATTTCCTTTGTGCTGCATTCTTTATGCACATTGGTTGGTGGATAGTAGGTGCACTTTAGACCTATCTCTGTATGGATTTAGTTTTTCCTCAAATCATTATTATGCTTCCTAATTGCAGGTTGTTGGGAAAAAGTATGTAAGACTCTACTCTGCTTCATATTCTGAGGAGCTTTACCCATACAGTGAAACAATGCTCAATAATTCAAGCCAGGTAGCGGAACTTTTTGCAAGAGTTCACTTGATATTTTGAATGAGACAACTTATATCCCCACAAATCATCCATAGTCTCTTAAGACACATGCACAAACACTCTCTCTCTCTCACTCGGAGACCTTGCCTGCCCATTGGGTTATCTAATACTCTGTTGGTTAATCATCTTTATTTTCTTATATCTTGGTAGTGCAGTGTGCATATCTGGTGTCAGATTAGGCTTGCTCATGATTTTTAATTAAACTTGCATCTATTATTTTTCAACTAGGTGGCAATGTCTTAGATTTGTTCCTGCTACTTGCATGATAAGCGTTTTGCTCTGTTAATTTGCAGCAGAGCAGACACTTCTTTGCATAGGGTAGAAGAAGCTTGTCTAGTATTGATGTTAAATAATTGCATTCTCTCATAGCTTCTTGTTCATTTGTGTGCTGCATTGCCTTTTTTTTCCTCAATTTTTAATATCTTTAACTGTTACGTGAATAATGTTTAAGGATGTAAAATTTAATGTGGTAGGCTGAAGGAAAAAGTTGTAGAGCTTCTGCATTTCATCAAGAGCTTTATATGCCTTTATTTTATGGCCATTTACTTTGGATATGTAATGCAAGTTAGCTCCATCTATAGATGCCCTTCATTATTACGTAGGCAGTTTAAGGGGGAGTTTTTCTTCTCTCTTTTGGTAGTTTAATACTAAAAGGGCTTTTGTGCTGAATACTGACCAAAGATCTCTATTTTGAAGGTTGATCTAGACAATATAGATGATGTAGAGTTTCCAAAAGTTTGTGACTTAGAATTCCTGGACTGCATTTTAGAGGAAGGTGAAATGCTTTATATCCCACCGAAATGGTGGCATTATGTGCGATCCTTAACAACAAGTTTTTCAGTGAGCTTTTGGTGGAGTGATTCTGGGAGTTCAACAGTGTCTTGATAATGTATTCTTTCCATGTTCTAATTCATTTGGAATGGAACTGGGCCTCATATTAAAACCTTAGCTGGTAAATTCCTATACAGGCTGAAAGAGGACAATGATTAGTGTATTCTTATGTGTATAGAGAGTTTGTCTACTCAAAAGGAAGTTGGTAGAATGTAATCATTGACAATTGTGATAGTATTTCGGGTTATCTGAAGTATGATATTGAATGCTATCATCTTCCACAGATTCTCTCTCTCTCTCTCTCTCTGTGCTTTCTCATTGAGGTGTAGGTTTTTATGGAAAAATGAACTGGACACCCAATTATTGGGTAAACTTCTTCGTGTTATTAAAGAAACAAATTATAGACTAAAAGGAAGAAGATAAACTTTGTTCACACTTATTTGGCAGAACTTAAAAGAGTCACTGATCTTTATAGAGCAAATACCAATTGTACGACTCCACAACTACCTACACACTTGGTAAATAACAAACCACTTCTTAAAGACGTGGTAAATAACAAGCCATTAAATCCTAAGAACTAGGATTATTAACTAGAATAGTAAATAAATATCTCTAACAATCCCTCAAACTGGTGTGCAAAACACATTCAGTTTAATAACACCTTGCTGCAACAAATCATCCCTCAAATTGAATTTTCAATACTGCAAACTCTTAGCATTTCTCTTAGCTTTTGAAGCACGGCCAATTTGAGGGGTTGGTAAATATAGTTGCCACCTGGTCTTCACTTCTGCAGAAAATGAGATCAATTGTTCCATCGTTTGTGAGATCCTGCAAGTGGTATTTCACATCAATATGCTTGCTTCTTCCATGTAGAACAGGATTTTTGGAGAGCTTTATTGCTGAACTGCTGTCACAATAAATGGGAGTAGGCTCTTCTTGCTTGAAATGAAGCTCCTCAAGAATCTTCCATAACCAGATTGCTTGACAAGCACATGTTGCTGCTACGAACCCAGCTTCTGTGGATGATAATGTCGCAATTGATTGCTTCTTTGAGGACCACGAAATTGCTCCTGAGCCCATCATAGAAACATACCTCGATGTATTCTTCCGGTCATCAGCTCCTGCATAGTCACTATCTGTAAAGCCAAATAAATCTTACTTTTTTCCCTTATTGTAGAGCAACCCGTAGTTAATGGTACCTTTTAAGTGACCCAATTTTTTTTTGGCTGCAAGGAGATGAATTTCTGTTGGATACTCCATGTATCTGCTAGTAAGGCTTACAACAAGCTTTATATCAGGTCTGGTTGCAGTAAGGTACAGCAAACTCCCCGCAATTTGCTTGTAAAGAGTGTTATCAATCTTCCTACCTCCTGGATCTCTGGCAAGCTTCAGTCCCATTTCTGCTGGTATGCTTACAGGATTGCAATTCTTCATCTGAAACCTGTTTAAAATTTCTCCAACATATTTTCTTTGAGAAATAAAAATTCCAGCAGCAGATTGCATCACTCCTATGCCAAGTGTAAGAATCGGAGAGAATCGACGAAAGAGAGATGAGAGCAATTCTTGATCAGCTTTTTCACCAAGAAGCAAAACAAAATGTACAACAGAGTAATTATACTCAGCTTACTAACAAACTAAACCAAGGAGGGAAAATAGTTATCATTAACTAAACTAACAACTATTTTACTGCAGGTAAAAGTAAAATAAACTAACCAACCCAGAAAAATTAATATGAGTTACTTTTATTAACAATTTTGACACAGGGCTTTATGACACTGCTCTATTTTTTAGTATATTAAACTCAACCCTAGCCACTATTGCAATCTGGGAGCCCTTATCCTTGTTGATTCTTCCCCTTGAGATGTATGTGTATATTATGAACATGCATCTTGCAAAGTAATTTGTGAAACTGCTTTGGTAGCAGTGCTTTGGTAAACAAGTCTGTAACTTGATCTTCAGTTGAAATATGAGCAGGTTCAATTATCTTGCTAAGGGCCTTTTCTCGTATAAAATGGCAGTCCATTTCTATATGCTTAATACGCTCATGGAAGATTGGATTTTTACAAATGTAAATGGTTGATAGATTATCATCATAAAGCTTGATTGTTGAAGTTTGAATTACTCCAAAATTTGCCAAAAGACTTTTCAACCATATTACTTCATAGCAGGTTGATGCCATTGATCTATACTCAACCTTAGTTGAGCTACTAGCAACCACTACCTGTTTCTTAGCCTTCCAACTCACTAATGAACTTTCAAGAAAAATTCTATATCAAATTATTGATTTTCTTGTGTTTGGGCATCCAACCTAGTCACTGTCACAATAGGCAGATATTGTTAAATCTGAATTTGATTTCATTAAAACCCCTTGTCTTGGTGAAGCCTTCAAATATTTTCGAAACTCTGTGTGCTGCAATTAAATGTTTTTGAGTAGGCTTATCTATAAATTGAGACAATACTTGACCTACATATGAAATATCTGGCCTTGTGAATGTTAAGTATAACAATTTCCCTATCAACGGCCTATAGCTTATAAGGTCCATTTCTTTATTTGTTTCTTCTATTTTCTCGAACTTGTGATTATATTGGAGTTGTTACTGGTTTACTACCAAGTAAACCATATTCTTCTAACAAGTCTAGTGTATATTTCCCTTGACACAATGATATTCCCTCATGAGACCTTGCAACTTCAAGCCTCAAAATATACTTCACTATTCCAAGATTCTTGAGTTTAGACTGTGCACTCAAATATGGTTTTACATCAGTTGTTGCCTTAGCTAAAGTACTCTTTAGTAGTATGTCATCCACATAAACCAATAAAGCAACAAAATCACTTTCATTTGTATGCAAAGTAAATAGTGAATAATTTGATAAAAACAGCCTAAAACCATATTGTATTAATGAAGCAATAAACTTAGAATTCCATTGCCTAGATGCTTGCTTAAGGCCATATAATGATTTCTATAATTTGCATACTAATTGAGTACCAATATGAATTTATAGACATATTCCCTTGAAAAACATTACCAAGATTATATTGAAGATTGCACACCCTAGTGTCATTTGGTTGTGCAAAATTTAGCTTCAATGTATTCCAAACATTAACTATTAAATCCATGTACAACATCGTAGATGCTATAAGAGGTGAAATAGACTCTAACAGCCCAGCCAAGATCAAACTATTACACCTAATCCATGCTCCAAATAGAGGATCTTTGTTATCCGGTTTAGGTATGGTTTCATCCAAAAACCTATCTTGGTTCTTATTGAAAATGTTAACAAGAAAGACTTGCTCCAAGCCACATAATTGCTTGAGGTAAGTTTAGGGTTTATCACAACAATTTCAAGATGATTAATGTTATAGAGATAGTAGGGAGATTGCGTGTCTTCAATAATTGATGTTAAAGATTTTTAAGTTGATACGAATTCCATTATTAATTTTCAATTTCAAGATTCAAAAGTAACTAACAGAAGCAAAATTTGATTAAGCATAAGATTCAATCAGATGAACAAACAAAATTTCTAAGCAAAAAATTAGATATGACAATTCAACATTTTTCAAAATCATTTGAAGGAATTGAAGAAGAAAAACTAAGATTTATACTAGGAATTAATAGTTCTCACTCTGATACCATGTAAGAACTAAAAAAAATCTACGAAAGAGAAATGAGAGAAATTCTCAATTAGCTTTTTCATTAAGAAGCAAAATAAAATGTACAACAGAATATTTAAACTTAGTTTAGTAACAAACTAAACTAAAGAGGGAAAATCAATTTTGACTAACTACTAACAATTATTTTACTATAAGTAAAAGTAAAATAAATTAACTTACTCAGATAAATTAACATGAGTTACTTTTATTTATAATTTTGACACTAAGCCTTCATGACACTGCTCTATTTCTTATAATATTAAGCTCTATCCCAACTACTATTACAATTTGTGAGCCTTCATCCTGGCTAATACCAAGAAAATAATGCATCAAATTAAGATTAGACATATCAAATTTAACCATCATGGACTCCACAAACTTTTCAAACATGGTACTATTATTTTCAGTGAATATAAGATCATCTATATATAAGAGGATAATGAACATTTTCTCACCATTTTTAATTTTAAGGAAAAGCATGTGCTTATATGGACATTTTTGAAACCTTTCTTTCAAAAAATAAGCCTCAATACAACTATACCAAACATGTGGGGCTTGTTTTAATCCATAAAGGGCTTTTTTTAGTTTATACACTTTATGCTCATTTCAAATCTTAATATATCTAAGAGGTTGTTCAATAAATACTTATTCTTCTAAATCACCATGCAAGAAAGCCAATTTCACATTCAACTGAAAGATAAACCATGAGTTTTGTGTTGCCAATGTGATTATCAATTTGATTGTATCGTGCCTTGCAAAAAGAGTAAGATTTTTTTTGAAATCAACGTCGAACTTTTGTTTGTAGCCTTTAACAACCAATTGTGCCTTGTGTTTATCAATTTTACTGTTTTTCTTCGGTTATGTCTTATACATCCATTTCACGTCAATGTTATTTTGCCTTCTTGGAATTTTCGCCAACTCCCAAGTGTTGTTCCTTTCAATGGCATCAATTTTAACATCCATAGCCTTCACCACTTTAATCTTTTTATATCATCTTCAACAACTATAGGATCACAATATGAAAATAGAGCAAAATGAGTACATGATTATTCATTGTTGTTAATTTTTTGTACTTCATACTCTTCCATCCATGCAAGTATTCTTTTAACTCATCGAGGTCGTTGCTCATCATTAACTTCAACTACTGGATTGTTTTCATTGATTGGTAGTTGCTTACTCACCATAGGTTAGATGTTTTCTA